CTTCCTGCCCAGGAGGCAGTCTTCTTCTCCCTCTCTCTCTCCCCTTCTCTCCAGCTCATGCTCTCTTTCTCTCTCTCTCTCTCATAAATAAAATGTTTTAGGGACGCCTGGGTGGCTCTGCAGTTGAGGGTCTCCCTTTGGCTCGGGACAGGATCCCAGATTCCCAGGATCGAGTCCCACCCACATCAGGCTCTTCCATGGAGCCTGCTTCTCCTCCCTCTGCCTGTGTCTCTGCCTCTCTTTCTGTATCTCTCATGAATAAATAAATAAAATCTTATAAATAAATAAATAAATAAATAAATAAATAAATAAATAAATAAAATCTTAAAAAAAAAAAAAGGGCTTCTCAGGCATTCCTAGCAGCCCCAACAGAGAGTCCCAGAGCAGCCAGCATGTGAATCCATTCTTCACCTGTCTGTGCAGCTCATGGCAGAGGAGGCCATGCAGTAGAGTGCTGTGGCTCCCTCAATGGGGAGCAGAAAGCGGTGGGAGGAGCAGGAGGCCCAGTGCTCCAGGGTCCCACCAGAACTCCTTAACTATACGGGGTGTCTGGCTGGCTCAGTCAGTAAAGCATGTGACTCTTAATCTTGGGGTTATGAATCTAAGCCCCACATTGGGTGTAGAGATCACTTTATTTATTTATTTATTTATTTATTTATTTATTTATTGAAGATTTTATTTATTTATTCATGAGAGACACACACACACACAGAGGCAGAGACACGGGTAGAGGGAGAAGCAGACTCCATGCAGGGAGCCTGACGTGGGACTCGATTCTGGGACCCCAGGATCACACCCTGGGCTGAAGGCAGCGCTAAACCGCTGAACCACTGGGGCTGCCCTGTAGAGATTACTTTAAAAAAAAAAACAGGGACGCCTGGGTGGCTCAGGAGTGCTTGCCTTTGGCCCAGGGCATGATCCTGGAGTCCCATGTCAGGCTCCCCTCATGGAGCCTGCTTCTCATTCTGCCTGTGTCCCTGCCTCTCTCTCTCCCTCTGTGTCTCTCATGAATAAATACATCTTTAAAAAAAATAAAAAAATAAATAACAACAACAACAGAAACCTTAGCTATATTGCAACTCTCACCCCACCCTCATCCTTGGTCTACCGGCTGCCTATCACCTTATCTGCTGAGTGTGTCTGTCCTGTGTCCCACTGCCTTGCACAGGCCTGGCATACAGTTGCTTGCACTTCAGTGCTTGTTGTTGACATGAATGGTCCAATTAATTGATGCCTATTGCAGGGATGAGGTGGAGGGGTGGTGCTCTCCATAATGCTTCTGGAAGGCCCTGAAAGTCTGGGAAGAGGACCAGGGGGGAGGACTCCAGGGCTCACATTGTCCAGTCCACAGTCCTCAGCTTCACAAATTGGCACTCAGATCCCTTTTTTTTTTTTTTTAATTAACTTTAAGGAACAGGAGGTTTAGCCAATTTCCTCAAAGTTGCTGGCCTATCCCCAGCAGCAGAGGGTGGAGGGTAGAGGTCAGGGTGGTGGTACAGGCAGGATCCATTACACAGGCTAAATCAGGAACTAGAAGGAATTGTTCCGTGTAGCTCTTTTGCCAGAGAGGATGGTAATCTTTCCAGGAAAGGGTGAGGAAATCCTTAGCAGAGCCCTTGGTTTTCTACCTTGGAGAAAATGGGGCAGGCTGATGGGTGTAGGGAAGGATTAATCCAGGTGGAAGTGGGAAGGAGGTGGACAGGGAAGTTAAAATCAGAGTGGATAGGGATCCCTGGGTGGCGCAGCGGTTTGGCGCCTGCCTTTGGCCCAGGGCGCGATCCTGGAGACCCGGGATCGAATCCCACGTCGGGCTCCCGGTGCATGGAGCCTGCTTCTCCCTCTGCCTGTGTCTCTGCCTCTCTCTCTCTCTCTGTGACTATCATAAATAAAATAAAAAAAATAATAATAAAAAAAATCAGAGTGGATAAAGGGAGTAGAGAGTAAACTATGACTAGACCCAGGTCCTGCTGGCAACTGCTTCCCCTCTTCACCTCCCTTCTCACCCCCCTTCTGGGGTTTCCCATTGTTACAACAGCATGTTTCCCTTGCTTGCCCTGGAAACCCTCACTCTGCTCAGTGGTGAATGGTGAGAGGGGATGGGGGATGGGGATGGAGGATGGGGGCAGGTGTCTGGCTCCAGGTCCAGGGTCCAAGGATCTTGCAGCTGTGGAAACTGAGATTGGAGAGCCGTGTGACTTACTTGAGGTCACAGCAGTAGTTTATGTGGGTCAGTGCTTGGTTGGGACTACAGGGTACCCTAAAACTACACATTTCAGAGGGTCCCAGAGGGAACCATTGAGGTCTGATTTCTTCTCCCTTGGGTTCATGGGATCAGTTCCCCCTCTCCAAAAGGCTCTCTCCAGTTGTTCATGGCAACTGGGGTGTATATTCAGATCAATGGAGCTCTGGGGCTCTGCAGCACAAGGGTCTGGACAAGCAGACCTGAGTTTGGATCCCATCACAGAACCTCTATTGATTTATACTTGCATTGTTTATTGCCAAGCACTGAGGACGCAGCAGCAGACAAAATAGAGTTTAGTCCCTCCATTCTTGGGAGGGGTGGCAGATAATCAACAAGGAAGTAAAATAAATTATATAGCATGTCAGATAATGATTTGCTGTGGAGACAAGTAAAACAAAGGTTAGATAGAGAGGAGATGGAGGAGTGTACTTTTTTTTTTTTTAAGATTTTATTTACTTATTCATGAGAGAGACAGAGAGAGAGAGAGAGAGGCAGAGACACAGGCAGAGGGAGAAGCAAGCTCCGTGCAGGGAGCCCAATGTGGGACTCAATCCCGGGACTCCAGGATCACGCCTTGGGCCAAAGGCAGGCGCTAAACCTCTGAGCCACCCAGGGATCCCCTGGAGGAGTGTACTTTTAAATAAGATGGATAGGTAACATAGGAGAAAAGACTTGAAGGAGGTGAGAGAGAGAGCCAGGTGGATACCTGGAGAAAGAGCCTTATGTGAAGGAGCAACAGTAGATGCAAAGGCCCTGAGGCACAAAATATGTCTGGCATAGTTAAGGATAAGCAAGGAAGCCGGTGTGGCTAGAGCAGAATGGCAGACAAGGATAGAAGTTGAGTCAAGAAGCTAGGGAAGATCAGACCACCCAAGGCCTTGTAGATCACAATGAAAGCCTTTAGCTTTAATTCTGAGTGAGATGGGAGCCACTGGGCAGTTTGTACAGAAAGAAGACAGGATCTGATTCATGTTTTATAAAGATCATTCTGGTCACTGTGTGGAAAAGAGAAACAGGACGCCAGTTAGGAAGGGTACTACAATAATTCAGGTGAGAGATGATGAATGCTCACACAAGGGTAGTCATGGCGACATCAGTGAGGTGGTGAGATTCTGAATATGTTGAAAGTAGGGCTACTGGCATTTACTAATATGGGTAGTGAACTGTAATGGGAAGAGAGAAGTCAAGAGAACGTCCAAGATTTTGGCCAGAGGAACTAGAAAGTGGCAGTTGCCACTTACAGAGATGGGAAGGCCCGAGGGAGGGGGCAGGTCTGGGGGAAGATCAGACCATTTATCTGCTGTATGACTCTGGGTAAGTTAACCACTCTGAACCTTGGTTTCCTCATCTTTACAATGGTTATAATAACGGCTCTCCTGCAGAGTGGAGGTAAGAACTAGTAAGATCATAAATTCACAGGATTGGCACCTGTGTGGACTCATTATGGGTCCTGTCCATGGCCCAGGGATGGCCCACAGCCAACACATCTCCTCTGGAAGTACCCGGAAAAAGACGAAGACTATGTCTATAAATCTGTGCTCTAGCTCCTCTCCTCTGCTTCCTCCAGGCAGAAGTGGGATAGGCCTTTTTGATATTTACATTTCCTTTCTTCAAGGTCTTTGATGGTTTTAGAAATGGTGGTGGTACCAATGGAGGCTGGGGGGGAGGGGAGGGCTGAGGGGGATGAGGACAGATGATATTCCAGAGGCCCTGGAGTTTACAAGATACTTTCATGGCCCTTATCTCTTCTGAGTCCCGGAAGACAAAAAGTAGTCCCATTTTAGGAAGTAGGAGGATGAGGCATTTAAAAACAAAACAAACCCAGGCTGTCCCTTTGTCAGGCTATCTCATGGAACTTCATTTATTTACTTATTTTTAAAGATTATTTATTTATTTATTTATTTATTTATTTATTTATTTATTTGAGAAAGAGAGCAAGAATGGGGGAGGAAGTGGCAGAGGGAGAGGGAGAAACAGACTCCCAAGGTAGCAGGGAGCCCCATGCCAGCTAGATTCCAGGGCCCTGAGATCATGACCTGAGTGGAAGGCAGACACCAGGCATGTAATGGACCAGGCCACCCAGGCACTCCTGTGGAACTTCATTTAATCTTGGGGCAAAGGTGGGTAAAGATGGTCCTAAAGTGGCTATCTTTCTTCCTGCCCTGAGTGGGAGTGCCACCCAGCTGTGTCCAACTGGGCCCAGGTGTCAGATGGACTGTGACCCCACTCCTCTGTCCCTGGGAGACGGCCCACCAGTGCTTGCCCAGATCCTATTCTTCCCGAGTGGGCCACTCTCTACTGGTGTGCGTGGTGTGTCTAGGCTGCAGCCTTCCCGCTGCTGAGGTTCGGGCAAGTGGGTCTCTCACATCATTCCATTCCAGTTACCCCTCCCAGTTACTCCCAGTTACTGAGCTAACAGAGGATGGGACTGGAGACCCGGAGGATCAACGTGCCTAAGGTCCCACTATTAGAAAGCGCAGCCTGGGTTCCAACTCTGAGGTCTACACCCAACAGGAACAATTCCTGCATATGTTCCTCCCACCTCTTCCAGCCCAGCTGCCCCCTCCCCTCAATGCACCAGGTGCCAGAACACAGCTGCCTCTTCATGGCTCCCTCCACCCAGGCAAGCTGTCCTAGGGCGGGGCTGGGCTTAGTGGGGCAGTGGTGGAGCGTCTGGGGAGGCTGTGCCCTTGTAGGCAAATTCCTCCAGAGACTGATTCTGAGCAACAGTTCCGACTGGTGAGAGCTGCTGCTGATGGGTGGGTGTGGGGGATTGGGAGGGTCGGAAGTATTGGGTCAGGGTGGACCAAGGGGCCTCAGAAGAAAACTTAACGATTGCCTGGGGAAGAACTTCTGCTGGGGTGAGAAGAGTTGGGGAATGCCAGGGAGATTGAGGGTGTGCATGAAGTGTGTGCGGCGGGGTGGGGTGGGGGTGGGGGGGACTGGCTAAAGGAGGGGTGATCTAGGGAACACCAGGAGCCACGGGGGCTCAGGGGGGCAACCTGTAGGTCTTAGCCCAGCTCTACTCGTGCTTTGGTTCCATGTGATAAGAACCCTCCTGCCCCAGCTACCTTGCCAAGAGCAAGGGCTTCTGGAAAGCAAAAATGACCCACGAATTGAGGTGGGGAGAGCATAAGAGTAGAAACTGAAGTGGAGAGGAGTCTACCTATCTTTTTTTTTTTTTTTTTTTTTTTTTTTTTTGCCAGGTGAGGAGGGAGCAGGATAGGAGCAAGCCTACAGCCTGGATTGCCTTCACAGCCATGCCCGCTCCACTGCTCCCACTGCTGCTGCGAACGCTGGTGTCTCGCCTGCTGCTGCCTGCCGCCCGCCTGGCCCGCCGGCACCTCCTGCCCCTGCTGCGTGGACTGGCCCGCCGCCTAGGCTCGCAGGAGGTTCGAGAGGCTTTGCTGGGCTGTCTGTTGTTCATCCTCAGCCAGAGACATCCGCCGGACGCCGAGGAGGCCTCCAAAGTGGCTGGCCAGGAGAGGAAGGAGAGGCTAGCTCCCCCCAAATGAGGCTACGATTCCTGCTACTGGCAGTATCATCAAAAGCGTTTCTTTTGGAGTAAGACAGTCCTGGCACCATCACTGAGCGCAGCCTGTCCCCTGTGCAGAAAACACGGTGGGGGACCGAGTACAAGGGTCTGACCGGGAATGCCTCCCCACTCCCAACAGGAATGCCTGGAAGATGCCTAGCACCCAGCAGAAAACTGATCGTTACCCCTCTTTGAATTCCTGCCAAGACACCTTTCCTAATCACATCTGGGTCTAAGTCAGGGGCAAGGAAGTGACTCTCCTCTCCCATGCCGGAATGGTGACATGAGGTCCAATGAGGGACACTGCTTACCCAGGAGTAACTGACAATTTCTCTGAAAGGCAAGATTTTTAACCCAGACGGTCTGTCTCCAGACTCAGGATTTAACTTAAAATAATAGGACCTTGGTTCCCAGGGAGTCAGTCTTGGCCCAAAACCTGGCATGCATCAGGTGCTCAATAAAGGTTCGTTGATTTGAGTTCTTCGGATGCCACTGAAAGTCGTGTCACCCACGCAACTTCTACACTCCTGAGCAGAGCGAGACAGTCTAACCTGGCCAGGGGGAGGGGGCTGGGGCTGGGGCGGGGGCAAGGGTGGGGGTGGGGTGGGGAGCCACTGGAGGCTTCCTTTTGCTTCCTATTCCATCGTCCAGCAGTCCTCATCTCTTGGAGATTGTTTCTCTTGTGTGACTTCAGGCAGTATGTCCCACTGTGACCCAGCCGTCTTGGGTCCCATTTGGGCTGGCTAGCTCAAGGTAGGGGGAAAAACGTCCTGGGGCCAGGCTGGAACTCTTCTCACCCAGTGGTGTGGGAAGAGGGAGATTGGCTTGCTAAGGGACCCTGCGGGTCGCCAGCCTGGGGAGCAATGCAGAAATGCTTCGCCTGAGGGGCACTGTGTCCCCGCCCCCCAGCAGAGATCTAGGCGGGGTGGGGCTGGAAGCGACCAGAGGCATTCACCTTAGTGTTTCCGCCGCCTCAAAGAGCATCCCCTGAGGGGTCAAATGAGTTGTCAGATTCATTTGCATTCAGCCTCCGGATAATTTGCTTATTGTTCCCAAGCAATAGCCCTCCCTCCGGTCTGTCTCCCTCCCTCCAGGGGCCGGAGGTTCAGAGGGGGACCAGGAGGGATCCGGCCCCCACCCGGGGGTTAGAGATGAGGCGGGAGCTGTGCGCCCCCGCCCCGCGGGGCTTGCGGCCAGAACCCCGCCCCGCCACTCTGGGCACCATCTGCTTCCTCCCGGCGTCCTCAAAAGTCAGCACAGGTGCTCGCCCCTCTCGGGAAGGCGACCTGGGGGAAGGGGCGAAGGGAAGGCGGCTGGAGCGCGGGCCCCCCAACCCCGTCCCCCTCTGGGGTCACGGGCACCTGTTGTTCCGTCGGACCCCGGCCTCGCCTGGCGCTCCCCGCCGCGGAACGGCGCTGGGCGGGACGGAGCAGGTCGAGCGCGGGGCGGGCGCCCGCGGAGCCGGTTGCAGCCCCTCTCCCGCCCGCAGCCCAGACCGGTCCGACCCGGCGCGGGCTGCGAGCTCGGGCCGCGGCCTCAGCCTCAGCCTCGAGGGAGGAGGCCGGCCCGGAACCGGACGCCTGCCAGCCCGGGGATTTTCGTCCCCCAACTACAACCCCGGCAGGTGCGCGGGGAGCGGAGGCGGGCCGCTGGGCGGTGGGGCGGAGTCTGCGCGGTGCCCGAGCGCCCCGCGGGCCGGATCGAGGGACGCGGGGTTAGGGCCATAGTTGGGCGGCCGGGGGGGGGGGGTGTAATACACGCGGTCGGGATCTGCTGTTTCCCACCGAGGGGGATGCTCTTCCGGGACTTTGAAGGCCACCCTCCCCCACCCCCGCCCCCGCTGCGCCACCCCAGCCTTCGGCAGAACGCCCCCAAGCTCGGAGCCCTGTCCTGAGCAAGGCTAGGGGGAGAGGTCTGAGAAGTTAGGGCTGGGAAGACCAAGCCCAGAGGTAGTCGACCTCAAATCTTGACCTCTGACTCTCGTTCTCACCCTCAAGTACATACCCACTAAGAAAATGAGGGAAGTGAGATGAGTCTGGTTATGGAGGGCTGGATCTCGTCTTTATTTTAAATATTGAGGTTTTGTTCATCATATATTTTTTTGTGCTAACTTTGATTTTTTAAAAAATATCGCAGTAAAATATTATTTATCATGACTCCTGAATTTTTTGCCACTCCCTTAAAATGTGCTCCTCAGGAGAGCGCCTCATTGGCCTGTCCGCAGTCCCAGCCCTGCCAAAAAGCCATGGACACAGTAATGCAACTGAGAACGCACAATCATGAGACAGGTGCTGGCGACAAACGGCCAAGCCAAGCAAACGCACAACAAACACAGATGGACATAAGCTGGGAAAAGTGAAACGTATGTGAGGTGGTGGGGCAGGCCTGAGGCCTAGAACAGGGAGTCTCCTGTAGCATGGGGGATGGGGTAGGAGGAGGTGCAGCTGGATCAGCCCTTTTTACCCTATTCCTGTGCTAAGGACCTGAGGGAGAAAGACAGAAGACTGGGCAGAGGGTGGCAGGACTGGCTGAGCCCGGCCAGACTCCCCACCTGTGATTGTGAGTCGAGGCCTTGAGGCTGTCCAGCAGAGGGCCCTGGCACCCAGCAACCCTCTCTGGTCAGGAAAGGGCTCTGAAGGGGCGTGGATGCTGGCTGGGGGCCCAGGCAGAGTGAATGCCAGATGGGCTTCTCTCCAGCAATAACAGTCCTGGCTGTTGCCATGGCTGAGCAGGCCAGGCCTCAGCGGGGGGTGGGGGAGAGGAAACAGCCTTCCCCTGTCTGGCCTGGGACCCTCACCACTTCCCTCCAGTTTCTTTCCACTTCCAGCCCCCTCTGCACACAACTACAGCCTCTGGTCACCAGCCTGGCCAGGCCTGGCAATCTCTCTGACCACTAAGGCCTGCCACCCCCACAGGCCCAAAGATGGGAAATGAAGGTGGGGAGAGAGACAGGGTACAAGGGAGAGGGGAGAGGAGGGCTGGGAGAGGAAGACCGAGAGACTGGACAAACACAGGATGGGAATGGGGGTGGGAAGACCCAGACATGAAACTGTCCTCAAGTCATGGGGCAGTGCCTAAGAAAATACCACCCATTCCCCCCTTCCTGCCCTCTGTTTGGTTAAGGCTGGGGGATGATGGTGTGTCATGTCTCTGTGGGAAGAGCGGGAAGGCTGAGAACACCCCTTCTGGAGTGGCTTGGGGACAGTTCATGGATCCTAAGTAGAAAAGCTACTTTTCCCTTCAGGGTCCAGTCTGTTCCCTGGCAAGAAGATGTGACTTTGCCTCATCTTCATAATGGTAGTACCCCTAATTGTGTTTTGTTTAAAATGATTTTATTTATTTATTCATGAGAGATAGAGTGAGAGAGACAGAGACACAGGCAGAGGGAGAAGCAGGCTCCCCCAAGGAGCCCCATGTGGGTCTCAATACTGGATCCTGGATCCGGGGATCATGCCCTAAGTGGAAGGCAGAAGCTCAACTGCTGAGCCACCCAGGCGTCCCATACCCCTAATTGTTAATTGGCATCCATAGCTTCTCCCTAGGGACAGGTCTCTTGGGTGGTGGGAGCGGAGGTGCGCTGGATTGGACCTTCCTCCTTCACCCCTCTCCAGCGGTCGGATTGTCCTCCAGCACTGAGAGCTGCTCAAGGGGGGGCTCTGATTCTTCCCTCCCCCTAATTTATTGGCCAGAGAAAAGGAAGGGAATCACTCCCCCTCCCTTGGAGGTGCAAGAAGGGCTGACCACCCCTAGGCATGCCCACCCCCTTCCTCCTCAGCCCGTAGAGGATGTGGGGCTCAGCAAGGCTTGGCCTCTGCCTCGGAGTATCAGGATAATAGGATTCATTCAGGATATAAGGCTGTTTGGGGCTTCTTCTCTTACCACCCCAGGCTGTTCCTTAGCTTTTCCAAAGTTACGGATTTAGAAAGAGTGAATCCTGAGGGGCCTCCAGACCTGTGCCTCTACCCCATCCACCCGTCCCAGACACACATCCCCCGCCCCCAAGTCCCAGTTGAGGGGGGGGGGTGTTTGTGCGCGGGTGTGCGGGTCTGTGGAGGCGGGAAAACTCACGACTCCGGTCACTGATTATACGGATTATACAGAGGGGTCCCCCGGCTTGAGGGTTGGGGGAGCAGAGAAGAGGTGCGAGGAGCAGAAGGTGGCAGTGAAAAGGGAGCGGGCGCTAGAAAGGAAGAAGGTGCAGCGTTGGAAAACGTGGCGTGGGTGGCGGGAGCTGGGAGAGTGATACCGGAGTATCTGGGAGGGACAGTGGACATACGGACGGGAGCGTCCTGACCAGTCTGAGCAGAAGGTTTGCTGCCGAGAGAGTCCGGGGACGAGTTCTGGAGGGTTCCTGGAGCCCTGCGCGGAGGGGGCGAGGGCGCAGCCAGCGTGGGCCCGCCCCTCCAAGCCCCGGTGCTCGTTAACCGAGCAGGGCTTGGCGCGGCAGCGCGCAGGGGTCCCGGCTTCAGAAAAAACGCGAGGCGTGGGGGGAGGCGGCGCGGACGCTGCGGCCCGCGGAGAGGGGGACTCGCCTCCGGAGCTGCGCGGGCCCGGGGGGGGGGGGTCAGCTGGGGCGGGGCCCGGGCGGCGCGGGCGGGGTGGGGGGAAGCGGACGCGGTGGGAAGGGGGGGGCGGGCTGCGGGCGCCGGCCGGGGCGGGCCCAGCGGAGGGCGGGTTTGAATGGGCTTCGGCGGGCGCGGGAAGCTGCCGAGTGGGCGCGCGGATCTGGGCGCGGGAGGACGCCTTCCCAGCAGGTGCTGCCCGGGCCGGGGGCCGGGGGTCGGGGGCCGGGGGCCGGGAGGCGCGCGGCGCGGGCGCGGGCGCGGGCGCGGGCGCGGGGGGCGCCCCTTCCCGCCGCCGGGAGGGCGGGGAGGTCGGGCCTGCGGCTGGGCGGCGCGCACAGGAGCGCCGCAGGGGAGCGCCGCAGGGGAGCGCCGCAGGGGGGCCCCGCTGCCCCCGCGCCGAGCGTGCGGAGCCGCGCTGCACGTGGCGCGCCGGGCCCGGGGCGCGTGGGGACTCTGCGGAAATCGCGACCCGAGCGCGGCGTGGGCGGCCTGGCTCCCGGGCCCGAAACCGGCTGTCGCCGCGCTGACCTCCGCAAGGGGCGGGCGAGTAGATGGGTAATCTCCGTGTCGCAGCGGAGGGGCCGCGCCGGGGACTGCGCAGGGCGGGGGGACTGGGGACGAGGGCGCGGCTGGGAGGTGAAGCCGGCGGCTCTTTAACCTCCGCCTGGGTTTTGGCCGAACTCGTGGTGCTGGCCTCCCCTTCCTGGGCGCATCCTCATTTACTCCCAGAGGAGACCCTACCTGAACCCAGAAGCCCTGGTTTCCTTCCCGGGGGAGAGCAGTGGTGGGTCCAGCCTGCTCTCAGCCTTGCCTTTCACTCTTCTTGGGGCCGCCCCTTGCCCTTTCCTCTCGGTAGGTTCCCATTTGTCCTCCTGCCTGTTGAACTGTCAGTGTCAGGATGTGTATGTAATTTGGGGGGGGGGTTGCCTTACACCTGAAGCTCTTGTCAGGCTGCAGATGACCTCATCCTCCACCTTATTTTTTCCCTCATCTCCCAGTTGCGGGGCTAGCTGAGAAGCAGCATTTAGACCTACCTTCCCACCCCCAAAGGTGGTTAGAATAAGCTGCACATTGAGTTGGAATTCCAGCGCACCCATTCGGTAGCCCTGTGATCTTAGACAAGTGACTCAACATCTCTGAACCTCAGCCGTAAGCCCTGCAGGTCTGTTCAATGGAGACAACTTAGTACTAGCTTATGGGCGGTTGTGAGGGCAAGAGGGACTATCTGCAGATGGTCGCTGGCCCCACATGCAATCCCAGGGAGTAGAGAATTTGATGCTCCCCCCAAGGTGTGTCTAGAAGCTCGGATGCATGGGAGGTGCTGGGGGCCTGGAGGTGAGGAGGTGCTGGATCTGATGGTTATTTTCAGGGCTGCATCCTGGCAGGCCAGGGCATACCTCGAGGGGCACCAGATGCTCTGAGCTGATGGTGCCAAATCCCTGGTTGCTGCCGGGCAAAGGCAGGCAAGGACAAAATACCTGAGCGGCCGGCTGAAAGTCAGGATATGGGTAGAGGGAGCCCCCCCCCCCCAGTTGAACTGTGCTCAGGACTGAGGCGGGGACTGCTGCAGCCCGAATAGAACGTGGGAGTATAGCTGGGGGAGAGGGCAGAAATGAATACTTTCTTGAGCCTAAGGCAGATTTTACTAAGGAAGGGAAGATACTTTAGTCTCTCCACCCCAGCTCCCATCTGGGTTGAAGCAATACCAGTTCTTTCACTGCCAAGAATCTTGCCTGTGGAGGTGGGGGGGTGGGGGTGGAGCACGGGATGTGCTGAGGTGTGAAGCTGGGAGTTCCCCTTCCCTGCTACCTAATAGAAAATCTGAGTCCTGAGCCTTCTTTGCCTATCCCCCACTGCCCCCCATCCTGTACCCCACAGGGGTAGAGCCCTCTTGCTCCCATCCTTCTTGAAAACAGAAAAACTGTCATTCACCACCAGTCCCCAGTGCCTAGAACAGAGATCCTCAGTAAATAGTTTTTGAAAAGATGAATGGAAGAAGCCCTCTGCCTCCATCTGGAGGTGTGTAGTTGTGCTCCTCCTGTCCCCTGCCTTGCAACCCAAGTGTGGGCTGGGGGGCGGGGGAGGGTGCTGAGGGAGGGCTTTGGAGAGTCTGGAATTTACCCAGGGAGGGGTTGAGAGGAATTATGGGGAGGAGTAGAAAAGGCCACTGAGGGTGTTGGAGGGCCCTGACTTATCACCCTGTCTCAGGTTGGGACCTGGAGCAATGGTTGTACCTGTGACTTGCCCTGCCTCCTCAGCTCCCCTGCTGAGACTGCTGGGTCTCTTATCTCCCGTTTTTTTTTTTTCTTTTTTAAGATTTTATCTATTTATTTGAGAGAGCAGTGAGCTCTCAAGTACTAGGGCACAAGCAGTGGGGAGTGGCAGGCAGAAGAAGCAGGGACCCCCCCCCTCCAAGCAGGCTGATCCCAGGACCCCAGAATCAGGACCCCAAGGCAGACACTTTTCTGACTGAGTCATCTAGGCACCCCTATCTCCCGGTTTTTATCTTTGATTGTGCGTGTGCAAAAGAGACTTCTCCGAATGGGGCCGATCCCTCCCACTGCAAGGCCCGCGGGATTCTCTCCCCAGACTGCGCCCTGTACCACTTTCTTCATTCCACGCCCTTACCCAGGGGGAGCCCATGGACAAGGCTTGCTGCCAGAGCCTCAGCTAGGACCACCTCCCAGGGACTGCCCAGGCCCCCTCTGCTCTGACCCTTCTGCTGGCAAGTCTGGGCATCCGGTGAGTGTTGGCCCAGGCCCAGGCCCAGGCCCAGGTGGGTGGGGAAACCAGTCCTCACCCCAAACAGCAGACCTAGCTTCAGAGCTAGACCCGCACGTGGGGGATGCGCCAGCACACGCCTGCCTGGCTTTCCATGTTATCCAAAGGGAAGGCTGTCTCATCTTGGCGCACACGCCTGCCTGGCTTTCCATGTTATCCAAAGGGAAGGCTGTCTCATCTGGTGCCAGGATGCCTCCCCTGCACGAGCGGGAAGCAGGAGGGGGATACTGAGCAGGGAGGCTGGGAGCTTTAGGTCAGGCCTGGCCTGTGCCTCTGCTCCTCCAGTCTTCTCTCCAAGTCTGTTCACAGAAAGGGGAAGAGGACAGGGGCCTGGGAGTGAGTCAGAGAGGAACCAAGGGGGGATGGGGTGACCCTGGGGCCAGGGCTGGAGATTAGGGGGAGGGGCATGCTTAGTTATGAGAAGGACTGTGTCCCCACATCATGGTTAAGTGTTTTCCTAGAAAACTGGCCAGGAACTAGGAAATCCCTGGGCAGTGACTGGAAAGGTAGGTTAAAGTGCCACAGGGAGGCTGGAATCTGGGGTGCCTCCAGGAGGGGACAGGCTCCCCAGAGCCCCACTCTTGGCATGAGTGCAGAGGCCCCCCCAGAGGGTGTGGAGGTCAGACTCGCAGAGAGGGACCTGGGTGGTGGCCGGCGGGGAGGTTGAGGGACATCTCTGGCTTCAGTCCTCTTCCCTGTGGTTCTGCTGCTGCTGCTGCTGCTGCTACTGCTGAGAATCTGTTTGTTTTGTGCCCTCCCTCCTCCCCTCCCCTCGCCCTCTTAGCTCTGACTCCTGTTTTCCCTCCTCCTGTCCCTCCTTCCCTCCTATTATCGTTGCAGTCCCTGACCCCTCTCATCCTCTTCTTTTCCTTCTCTGCCAGTCTTTCCCTCCCTGGCTCATACTTCCTCCTCCTCCTCCTCTCCTGCTCGCCACTCTCCTGTTTCCCAGCTTACAAACTGCTTCGGCGGCCAGATAAAAATAGCGGTGGCCAGGCTGGGAGCCAGGTAGAGCCAGAGCAGCCAGGGGCCCCAAGAGCACTGGCCACAGGGGTCAGATCGAGCAGTCAGTCCTACAGGGCAGGGCCAGGAGGGGGTCCTTTTGGACTCTTCAGCTTGCCCAATCTGTGTGCCCTGCCTGCCGCCTGCCCCTACAAGAGCCTAAAGAGGCCTATGGGGAAGCAGGGCCAAGACGTGGCCTCTCACTGCTTCTGCCCCCAGCCAGCGCCAGAAGGAGGGAACTCTCAACCGGGCAAGACCGAGAACACTGTCACCATGACAACCAGTCACCAGCCTCAGGACAGGTAGGGGGGGAGGAGGCGGAGAGGGGGGGAGGGGGGATCCTGGGCAGCAGATCCAGGGGAGCGGAAATGGGTCTCCAAGGGGCTGGGTGCAGTGTCCTTTGGAATTTGGGGTTTCCACTGCTGACTGGTCTCCCAGCAAAGTAGCTATGAGTCAGGTCTGCCTGAGGGGCGGGGGCCCTGTGTACCTTAACAGGGGTGCCTGTGGGGAGGGCCAGGATGGGTGGGCCGTGGCAGCCCTGCCCTGGCCTCTCAGTGTTTCCACTGTTGCTCTCCAGCCAGCTAGCAGTCCAGCTCCTCCCATCACTCTGGGGAAATATTTGGCGGCACCCCTCGTTCCAGAGCACATCTGGCAAAACTGCCCTCTCTGTCAGGCCTGGCCTCGAGCCTCTGCCTCAGATCACCCTGGCCCACCCTGGTCCTTGAGCTGACCTTCCTCTCACTCCGCCGCCCCCGGAGCCTATAAGTTAGACCCACTACCATGATTGTGCATATGTATTTGGCGGCGGGAGAGGCCCTGGCTCCGTGTAAGCCCTCCAAGGAGTCTGGGACCTAAGTTGATGATGAAGCCATGCCTGTGGTACAAAATCCCCCAACCCCATCCCCTCACCCCTGCCCATCCGGTTCCCCTGTGCCAGAAGTCCAGATTTAGGCCACTTCTGGCTGTACGACCTCAGGCACTTAGTTTAGTCATGTTGGGACCATTTCCCTGCCTGTGAAATCCAGGTGGGGTTTGTTTGGACGGGAGGGAATTTTAGGAGACAAAGTGAGTATAGGCCGTAGGTTGGTTCCCTCCCTGTCTCCTTCATTTCCGGGCTGCCCGGCCTGTCAGAGCCTCGCCTCCCCTCCCCACAGCAGTTCCGCCGACCCTCTCCCATCTCTATACACCTTGGTGCCCTCACCCAGCCCTACTCTGACCATCTGTTCTGGGCAGCCTTGGCCAGGAGTTTCTCCCTTCATTCTGGGCCTCTGAATCAAGCTCAAAGTTGAGAGTTGGGGTGGGGGTGGGAGCTGTAGTTGCAGTGGTTCAGGCCTCCCTGCTTGAAAGGCCAGGCCAGGCCGCTTGAAAGGCCAGGCCGGCCAGGCCTGTTTCTTCCTTGCCTCAGGCTTTGTCCCTGCCAGTCTGAAGAAAGCAGGCATTGGCTGCCCGGAGGCTATGGTGGACACATCTGGAGACCAGGGGGGTGGGGAGGAAGGGCCCATGCCAGACAGGCCCTGAGGTGCAGGGCTAGGGGTAATGCCCCTACAGGCTGAGGTGGCACTTATTTACTCTCTGTGGCCCACATGACGTCTGATGGCCCCATACCTCCTGACCTACGCTACGCAGTGTGACCTACAAAGCTAGTTTTGTCTGGGCCGGCGTTAAAAACAGCTCTCTCACTTCCCAGCCACCCCGAGTCACCCCACCCTTCTGTCCCACCAGGTCCAGAATGGTCTGGGAGTTTCTTGACCTCAAAATCCTCTTTGGGGAGCCACATAGTCCCTGCCCAGACGGCATAATCACTTCCATCCTGCCTGGTGGGGGTGGAAGACACTTGCTGTTTGCTTTCTTGCTCACCCGCCCACCCCCAGCCTTAGGCAGGATTTCCCAAACCACCTCCGGATGTGTGGGTCACACTGGTTCCCAAGCCTGCAGGGTCCCCCGAGTCTTCGGGGCTGAGAACCAAGGTCCTGTTGGCCAGGCCTTTCAGTCCTGTGTTCCTGGTCCCCTGCCCCCTGTGGACTTGTCCGTGCCCTGGCCCCTATCCCAGGATGCTTCCCTTTCCATATATACCCATCGGAGAACTGGGGCCCATGGACATAAACACAGATGCCTGTGCCCTGGGACACCTGGAGAGCCCACAAGTTGGGGAGCCAGAGGAGCTTAATTTAGGTTTGATCTGGGAAGGAGGCTTGGACAGAGGGTCACTTGGCCCCTCTTCCCTCTCCCATCCTCAGGTACAAAGCCGTCTGGCTTATCTTCTTCATGCTGGGTCTGGGGACGCTGCTCCCATGGAATTTTTTCATGACAGCCACCCAGGTGAGACTTAGGGGGGACTGGGCTCCCAAGGGCCATGTCCCCAGGGTACGCAGGGCCTGGATGTGTGCTTGGGAGCACCGGGAGAGAAGTCTCAAGGCTTCTGTTTGCAATCCCACAGTATTTCACAAACCGCCTGGACGAGTCCCAGAATATGTCCTTGGTCACTGCTGAGCTGAGCAAGGACATCCAGCCCTCAGCCACCCCCACAGCGCCCTCCCCAGAGCGGAACTCTCTCAGTGCCATCTTCAATAATGTCATGACCTTATGTGCCATGCTACCCCTGCTGGTCTTCACCTGCCTTAACTCTTTCCTGCATCAGAGGTGAGCGCCCAGGCCCCTGGCCTGACCCCTTGCTCTCCCTGGGCTGAGCCGCCCCCACCCGCACCTCACGGCCCCTCCCTCTGCTGCCTCGGCCTCCCGGCCTCTCTTGGCAGGATCCCCCAGTCTGTTCGGATCCTGGGCAGCCTGATAGCCATCCTGTTGGTGTTCCTGATCACTGCTATCCTGGTGAAGGTGCAACTGGATGCTGTGCCCTTCTTCATCATCACCATGGTCAAGATCGTTCTCATTAACTGTGAGCAGGGCTGGGAGGAGACCTGGGCCAGAGATCTTCCCACATCGCCCCCCCACCCCTTCTTTCAGACCCACAGTCAGCCAGGAAAGGAGCCCATTCCTCCCCGTGGTGGAAATGGATGCTGCAGATGGTCAGGGCTCAAGAGGCCTGAGCAGACAGGGGCCTGGGCCAGGAGTCAGGGCAGAGAGGGCCATCTGATGGCAAGACTCACTGGGACCTGTTTTCCCACGGGCCCCCAAGCTACCCCCAGTGGAAGCAAGTCCCACTTTGCTCCCTCTCTCCTGCTGATGCCCACCTTGTGCCACCAGCATTCGGTGCCATCCTGCAGGGCAGCCTGTTTGGTCTGGCTGGCCTCCTGCCCACCAGCTACACTGCTCCCATCATGAGTGGCCAGGGCCTGGCAGGCTTCTTTGCCTCCGCGGCCATGATCTGCGCCATCGCCAGTAAGTAATGCAGCCTGTGTGCCTGCCGGCTGGGGGCGGGCCACAGCGGGGCGGGGGGGGCAGTGCCAGTCTCTGACCTCTGACCGCCGGCGCTCCACACAGGTGGCTCAGAGCTATCAGAAAGTGCCTTCGGCTATTTTATCACAGCCTGTGGGGTTATTGTTTTGACCATCATCTGTTACCTGGTCCTGCCCCGACTGGTAAGCAAATGGGAGAAAGCCGGATGTGGGGTGGAGGGTCCCTGGCTCCAGACCACTGGTGTTTTGAGAACCCAAACGAGGTCTGGAGCTTCCACCTCTGAATCCACCTCCCCTGTGTTCTCCACTTGGTAGGAGTTCTACCGCTACTACCAGCAGTTCAAGTTCGAAGGGCCTGGGGAGCAGGAGACCAAGTTGGACCTCATTAATAAAGGTCAGGCTTGGGGCACCTGGGTGGCTCAGTGGTGGAGCGGCTGCCTTAGGCTCGGAGCCTGATCCCGGGGTCCTGGGACTGGGTGTCACTTTAGGCTCCCCATGGGGAGCCGGCTTCTCCCTCTGCTTGTGTGTCTGCCTCTCTGTGTGTGTGTCTCAGGAATAAATACATTAAATCTTAAAAAAAAAAAAAAAAAAAGATCAGACTAGGCCTGCAGAAGCTGGGGTGGAGGGTGGCCTGCCCAGCAGGGGGCAGCATACACACAGGGCACAAGAATGAACGTGCCAAATTTGCTGGTAGCCAGAAGCCTGAGGGACTGGGGGCTGTGATGAGAACAATACAAAACAAAGGCTGGAGAAAATGAAATGGGAGGTTCTGGATGCCCTTGAATGTCTGAGTGGCATGGGAAGCAATTTCAGATCCTTACAATAGGACGTGAAGCTCTTGGGAGAGGTGAGGGACCCTGGGACTTGTGCCGTGGGATTTGCAGATCTGGGCTGGCTGTTAGGGTATGGCTGTGCCCCAGGTCAGGGTGGTTCACCCCCAACTAGCCCCAGCTCTTTTGGGGAATGTTGGCGTGGCCTCCTGTTGTTCTGACCTACCCACAACTTGAGGCTTCCACAACCTGTCATCCCCCACCCTCCAGGAGAGGAGCCAGTGGCAAACAAAGAGGAGTCCAGAGTTCCAGCCCCCAACTCTCAGCCCACCCAGCAAAGCCACTCTATCCGAGCCATCCTCAGAAATGTACGTGGGGCACAGTGTTCTGCTCTCTGCCCCTTACCCTCTTTTTCTCCTACTTGTGCCCCTCCCAACCCGTGTACTGTCCATCTGCTCCCTTTCCTACCGGAGACTGGCCTCTCCTGGATTCTCCTGTGTGTGTGTCTGTCTGTCTGTTGGGGGTGGGGATTCTGGGCTTTTTAATGCACAGCTGCCATGAAGACATGGTCCTGGATCCTTTTCTCCAGATATTAGTCCCGGCTCTCTCCGTCTGCTTCATCTTCACGGTCACCATTGGAGTGTTTCCCGCCGTAACCGCTGAGGTCCAGTCCACCATTGCGGGCAACAGTGCCTGGGGTGAGGACACTGTGGGTTCCCAGGATGGGGACAGACCAGTGCTAGAGTGGGTTTGGGGGTGGGGGAAGAGGGAACCTGGGCTTCTATCTCCCTAACTCAACTCTCCTGGCCCATTTGCCCTTCCCTGGGCTGGAAAGCATCTTCTCCATTCTATAGCTGGGGAAACAGTCCAGGCATCCTGCAACAGGAGGGTTGGTTAGGGTCGCTAAATCTGTCTTTTTGGCCCTAATAACCACCCCCCAAATCTGCTCTTCTTCCAGGAAAGTACTTCATTCCTGTGTCTTGTTTCTTGACTTTCAATGTCTTTGACTGGCTGGGCCGGAGCCTCACAGCTATATTTACATGGGTAAGTGGGGGATGGGGGCACCCAGCCCCTGTGAGAGGGTCGAGTTCAGCCTGAGAACCCCAGAAAGGGAATCAGAGAGTATGGTGGTAAGGGGACCATGATTTATTCAAAACAAGACAAAATCTACGTATAGTTAAATTGTACAAGTCTTACACGTACAGCTTAATGTCCACACACACTTGCACAGACACACACACAGGTGTGTGCGCATCCCTATATAATCATCACCCAGGTTGAGATACAGAACATTTCTAGCACTCCAGAAGGCTCGAGGAGGCTCCCTCACAGTCAGTATGTCCTAGGGGTAACCAGATTCAGTTCCCATCCTGAGGGGCCCCAGTGGAGGAGGACAGGGCAGCCCAGGCTGATACACCCCCTGCCTCTCTGTAGCCTGGGAAGGACAGCCACTGGCTGCCAAGCTTGGTGCTTGCCCGGATGTTGTTCGTGCCTCTGCTGCTGCTGTGCAATGTCCAGCCCCGCCGCCACCTGGCTGTGGTCTTTGAGCACGACGCCTGGTTCATCATCTTCATGGCCGCCTTCGCCTTCTCCAATGGCTACCTCGCCAGTCTCTGCATGTGCTTCGGGCCCAAGTGAGTGGAGACCTGGGTGGCACTAGGCAGGGTCTAGAGCTCCAGTGGTGGGCGCCCAGTGGAAGGAGAGACTCCCCGATCCTGCAGGGGCATGGAGGTGAAGAGTCGTGGTGGAGAATGGGGCACCCAGACTCCTAGATGGAGATGCAGGAAGACGGGCGACAGCCCTGGGGACATAGTCCCCCGGGAGGGAAACCCCCAGATCGGGTGGGGGTGGGTGGGGAAGTAGGATGGCTGTCAGCAAAATTCTGTGCTCGGCTGTCGGCCCATCACAGATGCTCCAGGTGGGGCCGGGGTAGGGGCCATTCTAAGGAAGCCTTGCCCTCCCACCTTTAGGAAAGTGAAGCCAGCCGAGGCAGAGACAGCTGGAGCCATCATGGCCTTCTTTCTGTCTCTGGGCCTGGCACTGGGAGCTGTCTTCTCCTTCCTGTGCCGGTCAATTGTGTGACCATGGATGGATAGAAGGACTGCACTGACCATCTGCTCCTGCCCCCTTTCTTCTTCAGGGATGGGCCAGGGTGGTCTGAGGTTTTCTCTTTTAGCCAGCTTCTGCTTTCTCGTGGCCTGTTCTGGGCCCAGGTGTCCAGGCCCTGAGGAGGGAGCCTCTATGGATGGACAGTGGGGACATTGTGGGCCTGAGGGTCAGAATCAAGGGGGGGGGCATGCGGGCTCTGCATCTGCTCACCACTCCCCCCCCCCCCCCCCGGCTCTGAAGGATCCCTGTGAGCAAGGCAGCAGAAGCTTCTGGGCTCAGAGAGAAAGAGTGTGTGTATGTGTGTGTCTGTCTGTCTGTTCATCTGCATATATATACCAGGGGTGGCTAGGGGCCAGGACTGTTTGTCTAAGGTCCGATCTGATATTTCCACCCCGCCTTCTCCCCATGTACCTCCTGCCCCCACATCTCCATGTCCCTCTCCTGCTCCCCCTTGCCTTGTTCCTACCAATCACACAACCTGTACAGTTGCCATTTTACTGCCCTTTTTTATATTCAACAGAAACCAGGTGCCTTTGGAGGCTCTCTGATAAAATAAATCTTTTTTTTTTTTCTCCGCGGCTCCTTGTGTCCTCCAGCCACAGCTCCACACCCTCGAGATCGAGGGCATCAGGATGGCAGCCTGAATCTGGGGGATGAGCATGACCCAGCTGAGCCTCCGCCAGCCCTGGGCCTGTGTCCAAAGATGGGGGGTGGGGGCAGTTAGTCCTCTTAACCTCAGAGGGGCTGCAGTGCCCCCTGCTGGGGCCACAGAGGAGGGACAGGCCTGGAGCCAGGACGCCCAGACCGCTGGCTGAGCCTGATAAAAGGCCATTTTTCTTTGCTGCTCTATTCCTTATTTCACAGGACTGGGGGTAGAGCCCCATCTTTCTTTTGTCTTCACTGCCACCTCCTCCGCCTGTCGTCACCCCTCACCCCTCAGCGATAAACCTACAAAAGCTGGTCTGCCCTCCTCCCCCCAGTCCCCTTCCCTAGCTGCACTCCCCACACCTCCAGGTTGTCCCCTGCCTGGTATTCACAGCGCCCATGTGTCCTTGCATTGGAACTGGGCCCTCCCTTTTCCTTCTTCAACTCACCTAGGGAGGGGTGGGATGGTGTGGGACTCTCAGAGTGGCTCTGGAGGGAGCCGTACCAAAGACTATACTTTCAGGGATCATTTCTATAGTTTGGAGGGAGCCGTACCACTGGACCCCCCCTTCTTAAAAAATTTGACTCTTCCTGAAAGTGGGACCAGAGTGCTGGCCAGAGTGGACACACACACACACACACACACACACACACACACACACACACTGACCCTGGCTACAGCCCAGACCGCTCACTAATCCCGGACCAGCAGATAGCTACAAATTGGCACCTCTGTCAGGGCTTTTGTTCTCAGTTTAATTTAGTTGAAGGTTTCAGGCCTCATTAAGGGCTCTTAGCACATTTTTAAGGCTACTTGAAGAGCTATGAAGTTCTCAGGGGGGAGTTAAATTATCATTATATGGAGAACTGGAGTCTGTGTACTGCAGGGGTACCTATCAAACCAGGTATATACCTGAGGTCGGTGGAAAAATGAGGTACTCCTTTCCTGTTGGATTCAAAAGCAGGGTTCCCTGAAAATGTTCCAGTGTTTGCAGTGCCCTTTGGCAACGAGGCTGAAACAAACCTGTGCTCTTTGTCTTCTCTCCCTCAGCCCTTCTTAACTTTCCTGTGCTACCCCAACCTGAGAGTTCTTTTTTGTTTTTTTTTTTAAGATTTTATTACTCAGAGGCAGAGGCAGACATAGGCAGATGGAGAAGCAGGCTCCCTGCAGGGAGTCTGGTGCAGGACTCGATCCCAGGACCCCAGGATCACACCCTGAACCAAGGGCAGATGATCAACCACTGAGCCACCCACGCTTCCCCAACCTGAGTCCTACTGGGCTCCTTGGCACCAAGATCCCTTCAGGGACCCTGTGTCTTCCCTGGGTCCCTCCACTGCCTTCTGCTCTTTCAGGACTCCAGCCCAGATGCCCTCAGTCCATCCCACACATGGCCACAGAATAATCCAGAACCAAACTTAGTGTTACATTGGTCTCTCTCCAGAGTATTTCAAGCATTTCCTGATCTCCCACCACCGCCAGCAAGGACAGCCAGTTTATGCAATTCCTTCCCCTTCTGCATCTCAGATTTGATAGCTTTGTGACCTAAGTTTTATCATGCTCGTAACTGTACTCCAGCTACTTAAACAGAACTCCTGTTTTGCAAGATAGGGTCTACATTTTTTAAAAAAAGTTTTTAAAGATTTTATTTATTCGGGCAGCCCGGGTGGCTCAGCGGTTTAGTTGCCTTCAGCCCAGGGCCCGATGGGATCGAGTTCTGGGATCGAGTCCCACATCAGGCTCCCTGCATGGAGCTTGCTTCTCCCTCTGTGTCTCTGCCTCTGTGTGTGTGTATGTGTGTCTCTTGTGAATAAATAAAAAATATATATTTTATTTATCCATAAGAGACACAAAGAGAGAGGCAGAGACATAGGCAGAGGGAGGAGAAGCAGGCTCCATACAGGGAGCCTGACATGGGACTCAATCCCAGGACCCTGCGATCACACCCTGAGCCAAAGGCAGAGGCTCAACCACTGAGCCACCCAGGTGTCCCTAGGGTCTATATTCTATTCGTTTGTGCTCTTTCAGCTGCAAGTGCTTTTCCTAGCTCCTAGAGATACTCGGGAAATGTTTCCTTCCTTTTTGCCTCCCAGAGGTACTAAAAACATCCCCCCTCTCCACACAGTCTTCACATACCTGGCCCCAGCTGTGTGGTGGCACTCTTCCTTGCGGGTGCTCAAGGGATAGAGATGGGTGTTAAGTAGATTTCTCCCGACCCCAGCAATGATTTAAGGAGAGGGAAACCGGTTATTACATCACTTTTTTAAAAAAGGTTTTATTTGTTTATTCATGAGAGACACAGAGAGAGAGAGGCAGAGACACAGGCAGAGGGAGAGGCAGGCTCCATGCAGGGAGCTCACTGTGGGACTCGATCCCCGGACTCCAGGATCACGCCCTGGGCTGAAGTTGCTAAACTGCTGAGCCACCTGGGTTGCCCACATTACTTTTCTGTACTCAAAAGATTTTTTTTCCCAACTTTTTTTTTGTTAATTTAAAGATTTTTATTCATTCATGAGAGAGGCAGAAACCTAGGCAGAGGGAGAAGCAGGTTCCTTATGGGGAGCCCAATGTGGGACTCCATCCCAGCACCCCCCAGGACCCTGGATCACAACTTGAGCCAAAGGCAGATGCTCAACCACTGAACCACCCAGATCCCCCTGTACTCAAGTAGATGTTGAAGAAAATTACTAATTTTTCCAAAGGGGGAAAAAAAAAGTTTTCTAATGCAAATGCTAAAATTGTGCAGTCTCACACCCTTTTCTATTCTCCCAACCTCAAGTCTTCACCTAGAGACAGGAAAGGTGGGGGCGAGAAAACATAGCCCCCAGTTCTCCTGCCCACTCAACTGCAGTGATGGATCCAGACACAGGTGCTCTGAAGGCAACACCACGGATAGGACGCAGGCCTCCACTGTCAGGCCTCAGCACTTTGTCCCTAGCACTTGCTTCCTGTAAGGTGTGGGAGGGCTGAGCATGACAATCAGCCTCAGGTTCACCATGACCTAACCTGGCCATCACCTGCCTTCCGTGTGACATTGCTTAAAACATCAGTCTGTATGCTGGCCTCCGTAGGGTGGTTGCCACTGCAACACACTCGTTTCCTTGTGTTTGATCTTAACATGGTGAATTGATGGGGCTTTAAACTTGTGAAAGGCTAAGAGCCCCAGGAAGTCATCCTTAAAAAATAGAAGTCAAGCCTCTGGTATAACTGATGAACTGGACTATATATCTATTTGAGGTGAATATGGAAAGAGCACAGTGAGGGCAGGTATAACAGGTGAGGGGCTTGAAGGGGAAACTCCATTCATGGGGAAGCAAATAGTTGGAATGTGAAACTAGGATAATGATTCACAATGGTTATGAGCCGAGAACTGCAGAATCACTTTACAAAGAGATCGCGGAGCTTTCTGCCTGAAACCGGAGCCTGGACATGAAGAGTGGCAGTCGGAGGGAAGTCAGCCAGCCTGTAGATCTGACACAGGCCAGGCAGTTTCTAGGGCAAGTTGTGGACATGGCGCCTCCCCAACCCATCCCACCAATGGCACTGTCCTAGCTGGGCTCTAGCTGCTGTGTGGGTCCCCTGCAAGAGAGGAGGTGCTCACTCAGACCTCTCCATAGCCTTGGCAGTCCTGGCGCTCCCTGTCAATGAGCCAGTCGGCATTCTGGCCCCAGACTGCTGGGCAAGTGAGTCAGCAAGACCCCACAAATTGGGGTGGGGATGCCTTCTGGGCCTGTTGATGGGGTGGATGCTGTTTCAGAGCCTAGGATTCCATCTTGGGCCTTCCAGATACCAGCCGTGTGACCCCCGACGAGTCCCATCCTCTGGGCTCAGATCCTTGTTCTTCATTGTTTTTTTTTAAATATTTTATTTATTTATTCATGAGAGACACTCAGAGGGAGAAGCAGGCTCTATGCAAGGAGTCCGACGTGGGACTGGATCCCCGGTCTCCAGGATCACACCCTGGGCCGAAGGCGGCGCTAAACCGCTGGGTGACTTCTTCAAACAGGGTGACTTAGATGTATGGACTTACTAAGGTGATTTAGGGAGTCCGCGGGAGAGCCTGGATGCAGGACTGCGGTGGAGACACAAGGCACCAAGAGTCCGTTAGGATGAGCCGAGGCTTGCGCTCCGTCCGCATCCACGCGGCTCGCGGCTGCTCTTCCCGCGTCCAGTCCCCGGAGCCCGCCAGAACCAAACCTCGATTCCCCCCAGCCCAGCCCTTCCCGGTGCGAACCGCCTGTGGGTGCCCGCGCAGCGCGGCCCAGGTGAGGGCTGCAGGGCGGGGCTGGGGCGGAGCAGCGGGAGGCGGAGTCCGCTCGGCGGGGCGGGCGGGGGGGGGGTAGGACACGTCGCGGTCCCGCGTGCCGCCCGGCGCTTAGGAGACCGGATTGGGCCTCTGGAGACCGGCTCCGCTTAAGCCCGGGTGACCTTGAAGGGAACATCTGCCGTCCCGGAGCCACTCCTCCGTAAAGCAGGGATGGGCACACCTGCACGGCCTACCCCTGGGGTTGTGAAACTCCGGACCCAGGTAGTGAACAGCGGCTCTTGCTTTCACCTGCCCCTCTGCTCACGTCTCACGCATCTGGGGGTCTGCCGCCGTCCAGGAACCCTATGCGGTGCTGGCTGTTGCTATGCCCATGGTTCTCCCGAAAACTGAAGGGGGGATGGGGGGCGCTGGGTGTCTCAGGGGTTGAGGGTCTGCCTTCAGCTCAGGTCGTGATCCTGGGGTCCCGGGGTCCTGGGATCGAGTCCCACGTCAGGCTCCCTGCATGGAGCCTGCTTCTCCCTCTGCCTCTGTCTCTGCCTCTCTCTGTGTGTCTCTCATGAATAAATAAATACAATCTTTAAAAAACAAAACCAAAAAAACAACGGAAGCTAGCAGTGTTAAAGGATGGAAAGATATTTTATAGACCACAAGGCACCAGGTAA